CGCAGATACCTTTCTTTTCTAAACACACATATTTCAGTTCTTTCAATCTCTACATTATCAAAATAAAAACTCCTTCAGAATATAGGTTTAATTTTTGAAAGAAAAATTAGTCACATGGAGACAAATTTTCAAAAGGGGAAAAGGAATGAGTAAACGAACTTTTGTTTTGGCCACAGGTGGCTGCATACGTTTACTGACTTTCGTGGAGGTCCTGCACAATACATTTAGAACAAATTTTCGGTTGAACACAGGATTAAAAATCATCTACCTTTTTTTTAGGTAAAGAGTTGCTTTCAAATGTGCTCCCTTTTGAAATGCCGTATCCTTTTCAACCATCACTTTTGTTAGTATTAAAAACGAATACATTGTAATAATTTCATTGGCGCACAATATTTTGTATGGTATTTCTAAACGTATATAAAAGAACGAGATATTTGTATAAGCAGATTTCATGCTCAGGAGATTCGTGCTGTAGCTGCCGAGCGTGTAAGACGCACTTCTGAACTCTTCTGATTTTTCGTACTGCGAACTGTCCCAGTCCCGTAGGCGGACAGTTAAGTCTTCTGAGTAGGTTTTTATTGTGAATCTTTGATTTTCGCAGGTACCTCTGGGTACAACAAAATGTCCTTTTTTAGGGCACAAGGTGAATCCTCTGATGATGACATGGAATCGAATTGATCGATGGTTTCTACCAAATCTGTACAGTTCCCACTTCGACATGATAATTTTATAAAGTCACCTAGGAGGGTGAGTAAGAAAAAGAAGGTGAAAACTTTAAACTTTATCTGAGACTGAAGTCACTCGTGAAGCGATACCTAAATCCCCAGACGATGACCATGAATTAATACTGAAAATGTTACGAGATCATAAAATGGCTGCACTTTTGAAAAGCATACAAGATACGAGCAATGATAGCAGAATTCCCACAGAAACAATGCAAAATTCCACGGAAAACGTGCCACAGTCTGAAAAGGCTAAACTGACGGAAAACCCATGGACCTCACCTAGCAAAACGGCGCGGCAACCCCCCAATACTGACCAGATGGAAATTGCTACTGATAACAGATATGAAACACTAAATGAAACTTCGAAGATACCTGAAAATGAATGCAAGGAAGAAAGGCCACCCCCGATTGTCTTCAAACAAGAGCTGGTAGACTGGCTAATAGTTGAACGAGACTTGCGAGAAATTTGTACAGATGAAGTCGAGGCGACCATTAGAGTTAAACTAATTTATGTAAATACCAAGAAAATGGAGGACTATCAAAATGCCTTGAAATTTCTCAAATCCAATGAAATCCCCTTCCATACTTATCTGACTGAGAATGAAAAACCGCTGAAAGTTATTCTGAAAAATCTCCCGACCAAAATTAATGAAGAAACAATTTACAATGATCTAGCAAGAAGAAAGTTCCCGGTGCTCAAAGTCAAGCAATTCTGCCGAAGCAAAAAGTACAACCTGGAAAAACTGCTAATATGGTTCATCGAATTGAAAAGAAATGATGCAGGCCATGCAATACACCAGCTGAACTGTATGTTCAGCATTAACATAAGGATTGAAAAGTACAGCCCCAGGAAGAGACCGACGCAGTGTTTCCGATGCCAGGAGTGGGGGCACTCCCAGCACTTATGTACCAACGAAATCCGATGCTGGAAATGTGGTGAAAACCACCGCAGTAATACTTGTTCGAAAAATCAGGATGAAACTCCCACTTGTCTTTTTTGCGGGAAAAATCACGTCGCTAGCTATCGTGGATGCGAGGTCAATAAGAAGAAGTTCGAGAAAAAACCTGTACCGAGAAGAAGCACAGACTTTGTCCTCAAAACTGATGAGTTCCTGCGATAGACTACAAAACCTGATGGCAATATACCACTTCCCCGGAAGGTCCTATACAGTGAAATGCTAAAGAAGAGGTTGAACCAAGTCCCTGCTGAAGACTGCAAAGCCCCTGACAGGCCCAAAGAAGATAGAATGCATGAGTTTATTGAAAAAATTATCTACTTTATAGAAGGCATCAAAAAAGCTAAAACAACTATTGAAAAACTCTCATGCGGTTTTAAAGCTGCTATGTACCTCATGAAGATTGCATTAGAGGACTTCTAAGGATATACCTATGATTTATGCAGAGTCCTCGAGTATTTATTGTCATTTCTCGTCTTTCATACCACTATTCTATGTCCCTGTTATGGGTTTTTCAAGCAGCATCGTTCGGGGTCAGTTTCTGGGAGGGTGACCTCCCACGTGACTGGCTCCGACGAATCAGCAACTAGAAGTAATGAAAATTTTCTTTCAACCATGCACAGGACTTGTTCGTACCAGCTCGATGGCTTTTATCATCTTAATATGCCAGCTAATATTACAGCTTTCCAGAACTAATGTTTATGTACCTTGTTTGAATTAATAATTATGATTTTTTTGTTTTTCGTTTGCACAATTGTTCTAGGAGATTGCCTGGTTATTTTCATCACATCATTCAAAGCCACCAAACTATTCTACAAGGGGTAAGGCCTTCGGCTTAGGCACCCTGGTGTCTCAAACACCGCTCTACCGGGGAGTGTGATAAGCAGATTTCATACTTTATTCTCTTTTGTTGCTAGTTTTCAGGTTGTTATACAGATATAGAAAAGCACGCAAGAGCTATCTGCCTAGTAGGAGAGATGCCTTTGCAGAGGATTTTAAGGGAAATGGCTCGTATTCACCTAACATAAGGGGAAAAGCCTGAAAACTAAACCTGCAGCTAACCATTAGCTTGGGATCGAACTCCCAGTATTCAACGGTTTAATCTTTCGGCAGCTACTCATGAAGCTGTTAGTTTTCAGTTTTTTCTGAGTACAGTATTTTTTATTTATCGTTAAATTAATATATTTTAAGGTGCGTACTAAGAAAAAATGTGAAAACTTACGTCTCATAGTTCTACACGTTTTTTGTTATCGCATGAAAGATTTATTTTAAAATTCAGTTTATTTAAAAGGATAAAACCTGCATGAATCATTTTCAATTAAAACATAATGACCTCAATAAACTTTTGAAAATGTTGAAGAATGAATTTTCGAGGAAATATATTTAAAGTTCCCCCAGTGGCAGGAACAGTCTCTGGCTACGTAACGGTTAGAATGCTGAACAACATTTTTTTAGGTAATTCAATGAATTTTATCATGAGGCGAGGCTGCAATCAAAGTGGGATGCCTTCATAACGGTGCTGCAGCAAGAGGTAAAAGTACACAAACGGAAGCTCAGTTTCTCCTTGAAACTGATTATTGGCATCCTTATGCAAGTGCCATTTTCAGTTTCAGTTACTGATTCATTAAATAAGAAGGTATTATATAAATCTTCGGAATTTTTATGAAATCGAAAATATCTTTATGATCTCATTTATACTTCCAAAAAGTATCATATACGAAACAATATGTCATACCTTTTTTAATGCTTTTTTTTTTCATCCATAAACCCAGTTCAATTTTGCTAATGTTACCAGCCTCACTTCAAGAGATCCTGGTTGTATTTTTACATGTTATAAAAGTATGCATCTTTTCTTGGGAAGGGAACCACGAAAAACTCCCATATAGACAGCTCATTCGCCGGAATGTGAAATGGAGTTGATCTATCTGTTTTCAGCAATATTACCGTGGGAATGGATCTTAACAATAAATAGTTTTAATACTGGTAAAAATTTGAAGCTAATGTATGATTTGCAACGCTGCTCTTTATATTCTTTATGGTGCATAAGTTGGTGTATATTGCATATCAATAGATAATTGGTCAGCGAGTTCCTTATCATAGGTATTTTGTAGCACGTGGCTTAGCAACGTTTCCTATTTTAAAAAGAACCGAGTTTTAATTTTCCCATTTGAGTAAAAATTGTAAGACCTACTTCCAAGTGCTAATAAAGAGCTGAAATGCAAAAATCAGAACTTAAATTTACAATGTATTCATATGTCTTATAGACACACATTTTTATTCAGATAATTTGCTTCCATTTTCTTTGTACTTTTCTTATAAATTAAGGCTTTTAATTATATGTGAAAATTTCATCTTCATTTCTTTAATTCATGTGATGTTATACACAGTAGTGTAGCTAGAGGGGGCTAGTTCGCCACAGACAGTAGCGAGATTAAGCAAAAGCAAATCTTTCTCTTTCTTTCCAAATACGAGCGATATCTGTCAGACATAAATTTGTAATACGAGCTGCATTTATTTGTGACCACTGCAGTGCGTAACAGGAATATGAGCTGAGCTCGGTTGAGGACTATCAAAAGGTTAATAAGGAAGTATTCCCTCAGTTAGAGAGAAGTGTTTCAAAGTTATTTCCGTTATTATTACTAAAGAAAGCAAAATGGGAATATAAAAAGGTGGGTCCTATTGACGTTTTACTATTTGTTCTAAAACACAGTTCTTCAGATAATGTAATTTTTTACTGCTGAGAATTTTTTTACAATTGTGTTTCTAATTGTGATAAGAGTTTTTTAAATAAAAGTCATTTTAGAACTACAAATGATTAATTTTGTATTTAAGAAATAGTTCAGTACTATCAGCATAGTACTCTGTAATAGATGGCTTTGCAAACACATGTTTGTTTGTTTTTAAATTTTAAAATGATGAAATTAAATTTTTTTTTTCAGAATTAAAGGTAGATTGTTAATATATTTTTCTCTTTGCCGTTTTTACATTCAGTCATTTGCTTATACCAAGAGAAGAGACAAATTCAAAGACTGCCTAGGCAGACTCAGAGTCTATAGGGCTGCAAGTGTTCTAGCTATGCCGAATATAATTTAAATTGAAGAAATTTACAGAATAGATTATAGCCTTTCTAAGACAATCTTCAACATGTCTAATAGACTTTTTTTTCTATGAAGACGATTGTTTAAAAGCAATGCTTTATGTATATTTTCAGAAAGACTGGTCATTTTAAGAGGTGGTTGTCTTAAAAAATTTGGCTATAAAACGATTGAGTTATATTTTTATTTTACAGCTCCTACTACTTTTTAATGTGGTAAAAATTTTATAATGTCCGATGCAGAATAGGTAAATCAAAATTCCTAAATAAAACAAGAATAAAAATATTACCAATGCAACACAAGGACAAAAAAAAAAAACTTTGATTATTAATAATTGTTATCCTAGAATCTTATCGAAAAGCGAATCAGTGTTTTTAAGTATTGGAAATGAAATTTACTAAATCTACAGAAGGCAATGAACGAATAGAAAGGATTAATTCGTTACAGCGCTTAACACTGCACAAGTGAAAGACGATCACTGAATGTATATCCTTTCTGCTTTGAAAAAAGCCTATAGACCCCCTATGAAGTCTTTTTCCATTCTAAAGTATTCCAGATGGTGTTCTTAGCTTAAGGGATTGTGTTATTTAAATCCTAATGCAGTATTGCTATGGTTACCCGGGTCATTAGCGTCGACTCTCTTTGGCAAAAAATTTCATTTTCACCTCGCCGAGAATCCCGCCAAAGGTAACAACCCGTTATTCTGACGTCAGAAAACAGGTGCAACGGTCAGCGCCAGCTATTGCCAAAAGGCTACATTCGTACTCCTCGAAATTCACTCTTAAAATTAAGAATTTGTAAACTGGAATTTATTTAAACTTCAAAATTGTAATTCTTTCACTTTCTTAATTTAATTTGAAGTATAAGAATTTTAATAGGAGTATTCCCCTTTAATTATAATTATGTTTAATTAAATCATTGCAGCCTAGGGACAGGATTCTTAATAGTTTTTTCTTACATTTATATATATATATATATATATAGAGAGAGAGAGAGAGAGAGAGAGAGAGAATACACACACATATATATACAGAGAGAGAGAGAGAACATATATATAATATAAAGATATAACTTTAAGTAACAAAATTCTCCATATTAAAAAATAAGTTTTGATGAATAACTTCCATACATACGCTCTGATACATGTTTTCCCATCACCTTCAAATCCAGTATTGCACTCACACGTGTATGAATTGGGAGTATTGTAACAAGTTGCATTTTCATGACAGTCATGTAAATTCCTTAAGCATTCTTCTAAATCAGGGCACGCACTGTAAGACCAAACAGGATCATATGGCTCTTCAGGATTTGGTTTTAGAGAATAAGGACAGATCCCTTTAAAAATTAAATGAAAAATGCTTTAATTTTAGATGATAATCGAATTTTACAACATAAAGTGTAAGGGGGGATCATTTATTGGTTTAAAAAGGTTTTCAGAAAAAAATTTACTTTGGATTTTTTTTAAAACAACCGGAAATGTGGGTACACATAAAATAGGAAAAAAATCAAGGGTAACATTTCCAGATATAGACTAAATTCAATTAATATTTTTTACAAATCTAAAACATTATAATAATGATATGCTTGAAAATCAGTAGCTAAACTTAACTCGTACATATGATCACTTACCTACAAAAAATGACAAATATTCTGGAATAACACTAACTACTCTGAAACTAATAATTATGAGACATCATGATTAATACATAAATGTCACTCAAAGTTTTAAATTTTAGCTGCCTTTTAAAAATCTGAGCAGTTTCTAAAAGGAATGGTTTTCAGCAACAAAAGATAATGTTCTTCCATTATTAGTATGACATTATAATAAAGCAATTTTTACTGTAAAATGCAGAAGAGCTACTTTATGAAATTATATGATCGATGGCAAAAAATTTTCAGACATATGAATCAGTACATTTAATTCTACATATTCTAATCACTAATAAATAGGCTGCATAAACGAGGGCTAAGACAGTAACAGCTTATCAGATGTACACACAGACAAGAGATTTGATACAAATAATTTTATTGGCATAAAAAAAGAAAAAGAAATTTCCTTGCATTATCACCAGATATTTAGACAAATAAAACTTGACAGTATCATCCAGAAGTCAAAAAAATAGGCATCTCTTTTATATTCAGATAAGAACAACAGACATCTCTTTTACATTCAGATAGAAAATTAGTTAATTAAAAATATATGCATGATATAGTCACTAAACCATTTTCTGAAATATGCAACATACCAGCATACCAATGATACCAATTACAGAGGATAACTGTATAGTTAATTGTATAATTAATCATCAATACTATACTACCATTGATACAAAATACAAAGGATAATTTGTTAACTCCTTGACTATAAATTATTTAATACATGAATTTTCCATGTGCAAATTTAATTTACATTCATATCATCACAAATTAATTAATATCATGCCAAATAAACTATAACAGATTTAAAGTACAGATATTAATCAAATCAGAAAGTTACTTCAAATGACACTAAACAAGCCTAAAAGTTAATCAAATTTATAGTATATACATTTATTAATTCAGAAAGTAAAATTAACTTATTCTAATATGCTACAAATAACTGTTTCCAATAGAAGGGGGGATTACATAAGAAAAAGAATAGTTATAAAATCCAGTTAACCTTTCATTAATTAATAATAGCTATTCTGCCTATATATAAACACAAGAAATTATATTAAAATAAATTGCAAAAATTCCTGAAAAAGGAAGTTATGACTATGCAAGATAACATACATTACTAATATCTATTTTAAGCATTTAATCGTGCATATAATGATGACAAAATTTAATTATTTATAGTTTCAGAAATTTTTGAAAAAAAAATAATAATGAAGTTGTGAATAACCTGAAGATGGTCCTGAGAAGTCTCCTTCAGTACAAATGCCCTTTGTTGGATATTTTGAATTGCTACACCAACCACATGTCAGATCTTTAATACAGGAAGAGCAATTATCATGATGTGAACAATTGCGGCATAGAGCTATGGCAGACCTGAAAGTGAAGTGAATGCTCAATGAAGGCTGCATTGCAATGTTTCAAAAAAAAAAAAAAAAAAAAAAAAAAAAAAAAAAAAAATAAATAATTTGTGACTAATGCTTGGAATATAAAGAACAAATTTATTAGATTGTCCTAAAATAGTAGTTTTTGAATGATATCAATAAAGTGAATAAATGAGCATGTACAAATACTTGAATACTTGCCACTGATTTTTCTCCCTCTAAATCTTTGAGATTAATTTACTGGAAAAAAAAAAAAAAAATTCTTACCGAATTATCTGGCTTAGGACAAAAAATAAATTTTATTGTAATAACAATAAATCTTCATTTCTCCAAGAGACAATAAATTTTCATTTCTCCAAGAGACCACCTAGTCCAGACATGGAAGGCTCAAAATGCGTGTTTTCAGAAAAAAAGCTTAGAAGTTTTTTTTTTCTCTCATTTATTCTGTATGCTTTATGAGCTGCTTAATCCAAATTTTAGGTTTGTCATTTCACCAGAAGCTGGCTTCACAATGGGGGTGAGGTGGGGGGGGGCAAATTAGACAATTTTTTTCAGGGTTTTCACTAATAATAACTCGAAAACTAAGCATTTTTTGAAGATGATCACTCTATACAAAATTTCCTACAAAATCCATATATGAATGTTAGGAAAATCTACAACACAATCTACAATCTACAAACTCCCAATTCCATAGAGGGTATCGAAAAAAGGCCATATTCTGGATCTTCACGAAAGATGCAAAAAAAGCCCTTCTAACTGTGTGGTGGAGACCTAATATCAATGTCATATGCCTGCAGCTAATTATTTTATGAATACCTGATGTGCCCAAGTCACAATAATGGAATTAACAAATGATAGTGAGGTATCTGGTCAGTGAGCCCACTAGTTTATGGGAAATCATGCAACTACTTTCCTTAGTATGTCAAAAAATGGTAAATGAAGCTTAGTGTTTTGAGTGAAATGATGGTACAGTAGACTAATTTTGTACTAACCAGACACTAGACCTATGAATGATGTGGAAGCAGCAATGCAATCAATGCACGTTTCTTGAAAACAGTGCAGAAGAATGCCAATTTACAACTGAGAAACAGATGAATGAGAATGAAGATGCCTTTCATCCTCACCCCAAAAAGCACGCCTTCTTGAAAGGTATGACAATTATTATGTAATTAATCAACTACTGTTGATCGAAGTTGTCAGAATCCACTGACGTATGCAGGTTCTATTTATATCATTGATTTAAAAAACAAGAACAAAATTCATTTACCTGTTCTGATGCATTGTTGAATCTGACGTGATGTTTCAGCTGGCAATCTTCTTTACAGAAAAACCACAATTCTATTTTCTTGACATCACATTTTATTTACATAAAACATTCAAAAGGAAAAAATTAATATTTAAATACATTTTCTTGTACAGCCTCTCTTTTTCTTTAAGGCTGTACGAAACAATAATCCGTCCATCACACAGATTCAAAATCGAACTATCTACTGTTTACAAAGGGGGGGGGGAATAATAATAATAATAATAATAAATAAAATAAAAACAAGGTTTTAATTTCTTACATAAATGGAACTCCTGGCTCCCTCTAGCGGGAGAAAGCCACTTTAGATGAACATTTAACAACAATGATGCATTGGTAACAACTAATAAGCCTTATATTGTATGTTTCAAGGCTGTAGGTCACATGGTTATTACTGATTCATGGTATCAGGAGAGGTTGCCAGATGATAAAGAAAGGCTAAGAATTTTTAAAACAGCAGCTGCTGTTATTGTTGAGGATGCACGATGTCAAGTGTATAACACAGCATGGATACTTCAGCATATGGATTTCTGGAAGGCATTGAAGATTTTACCTCCAATCTCTTCAAGCTTTTACATATGTTATAGGGATGAGCAAGAAGAAAAGAAATATTGACAAATGATGGAAGAAATCATTTTCAATAACTGACTGCTTACTTAACATGAGGCTAAAGTCATACATAATTTCATCTGTAAGTGCAGGTTGCAGCATTTTTGTACAGAAAGTAGGGATTGCACAGGTTACTTAATGTGTTGAGTTTAGAATTTTACTTATCATACATTGAAGCCACATGTTTTGAAATGTTCTCCATCATTCAGCTACCTCTGACTCTTAATCAATCAACACTTTCTTAGATGGTGCATGATAACATAGACTTCAATGTGCGAACTGTTGATGGAAACAATGCATTCCACTGGATGGGTGGCATAGTTTGTTTGACTCCAAAGTCTGCTGTTGTTCTGGGTTAACATATAGCTCGGTTGAAAGATATACCTTCAACAAGAAGTATTGGATGTGTCCGGATTGTTCCATTGAAAGTGATGGCCAAACTGAAAACTCCCAATTCCATCAACCCAAGACCCATAGAACATAGTAAACTAAAAGAAAATATACCAACTCCCAGGATGACCAGCCTAGTCCACCCAGAAGAAAAATGAGGAAGCAAGCCTGAGCCTTATGCAAGTATAAACTTCATACACTAATTCATTCCAGCCCATTCTACTTTTTACATCTCCTTTTTATAGGATTCCACTGTTTAAAGCGATTTTTTTTTTTTTTTTTTTTTTTTTTGCAAGTAATAATAATTTGAAACTCAGTTCTTTTTCAGATGAAGATAATTCCCAGAAATATCAGAAAGCAGCATGATATAATATTTTATATCAACCGAAAAAACTTTACTTTGGTCTGTGCCTTTTTTTTTCTGTAAATAAAATTTTGTTTCAAACATATCTTCCTTTATAAGTACTTTCCTATTTACTTTACAAAACAAACTGTAGCCTGTAGCACTGTACAAGCACACAAGCTAAATAAATGCCCACTGACATAGTATTTCACTGATGTTTGAAAATTTAGAATACAAAATTAGTTCACTGTAGCATCATATCCCTCAAAACATTCAAGTTTCATTTACCATTTGAAAAGCAAGGAGAGTAAGAGTGTGATTTCCCATTAATTAGTGGGTCTACTAACCACCTATTTCACTGATGTTTGTCAACTCAATTAACAGGACCTAGGCATATTAGGCATTCATAAAATAATTAATTACAGGCATAGGCATTGATTTTATTAATTGTACAAATATTAAGGCACCACCACACAGTTAGAAGGGCGTTTTTTGCATTTTTTGTAGACAGTGAAAAATAGGCCTTTTTTCAGTGCACTCTAGCAGCATCGCAGATAGTCTTAACATTAAAATCAATACATGTATTTTTGTAGGAAATTTTGTCTACTGTAATCTCACAGGGTGGTAATCTTTGGAAAATGCTTAGTTTTTGAATTATAAGCAAAAAACTGAAATAGTACCAACACTTTGAGGTTCTTTCTTTTTTTTTTTTTTTTTTTTTTATTGGGGAGCAGACTTCTTGCCAGGTGGGAAATGTACAATTCAGATTCAGCACCCCCAAAAAACATATAAAACCAGTGAGGGGAAAAACTTCTATCCTTTTTTTTTTTTTTTTTTTTTGTTTGCATATCCTTCGGTAAATGGACTAACATTTCAGAACTATCTTCTGTTGGACACACAGTTGGACACACAACTTCAAGAAAAATTAAGGGAACAACTATAAAAAGGTTTCTTTAATTTAATCGATATAAATGAGGTCAATATTATCACATAGTTCAATGGAATTCACTTTATAGAAATACAAAAATTTTCGCATACATTATTTTACCATATGCAGAAAGAAGGGCAAATGGGTGCTTCAAATTCTAACTTCAAGGACTAAACAAGTAGTTGCGTAGTTTTCATGTATGGTCACTGAGAAAACATCAGATGGATTGTGAAAAATGGCATGTGAGTTGGAGAATGGTTGTGCATTTTATTTACAGAAAAGAACTGACACAGGTTTATCAAGACTTAGCCACAAGCAACATGTCAGGAATTTGAACTGTATCTATGAATATGTAAGGTTACTGCATAAAGCAGTGATGGACAGATCCAGAACTACATAATTTAGACTATATATGGTCCAAATGATGAAAGTGTGCACTTCAAAATATTTTTTCTACAATCTGATATAGATTTAATTGTTGAAATTATTGTTTGTCAAATTTTCACGCATCTTTAACAACTCAGAAATTTACTATTTGCATCACTGGATTGAGAAGGAAAAAAAACCTTTTAAATGAAAGTTATAGCAAACTTTTCATGTAATTTATTGGTTTTTGGTATTTTGTTTGAAGGAACCAGGAATTGTTTGAAGATACCAGTGATATATGCAAACAAAAAGGTCAAAAATATGCCAGAACAGACGCTCAGGACTGTTGCTTTGAAATAATTGCTAAGACGGGGTGGGGGGATCTGAAAGGTTTCATATTTTAAATTACGTCCAAAGGGGTGTTTTTCAAACATTTTGTCTGTTATGTTTATTTATGAAATATCACGCGTTCTTTACACTTAAACCATAAAATTCAATTCAAGAGCAATATTGCAAAATAGTTTTAAATTGAGCATACCTTTAGAACTTCCAATACAGTCTTGTGCGCTGGAGATAAAAATGTTTTTTTCTGTACAACGTTGCCATTGCTTGCTTTGAAATCCTTGAGTTTGTAAATCAAAAATTCGTTAAAATTTTACAAAATATGAAATCGATAATAAAACTAATCCAAATTTCAAATTTGGGCTTCCACATGCCCATATTCGCAGTAGAATTACGTCATTCAAAATTTGATGGCTCTATGTTCAATTGTTTTATCACAATGCGAGAAATATACATACTTTTATGCAGATTTTTCATTATTTAATTTCTTCAAATACTTAGGAGTCTAACATTTGGTGGAAACAGTTTGAAAAGTTAAAAAGACATTTATAGTGAACCAACGCAAAATCGCAAAACAAAAACAATAGTCCTTCAGGCACAAAGTCCCTTTGGACTAAAAAAAAGATGACTGATGTCAACTCAGATTGCAAGGGAGTTTGTCAAACTGTAGTTACAGGAACTTGACTATCCAGATATACATTGACTGACAGGCTACATAAACGAGGGCTAATGCAAGGAAATCTATGACATGTCCCACGAAACCAGACTGTGAAATGCTCCCAGTTGCAGAGATCGTACAGAGAGCTGGTACCACAGACTGGAGCTGAATTATCTTTACTAATGGAGTCTAGTTTTTCCTTAGAAAGGGATCCCAGATATGTTACAATTTGAATGGAGCAAAAAACATATAATAAGCTAGGAAACCCATGGTACAGAGGTAGAGGAGTAACTGCATGGATGGACATCATTCAGAATGATGACTGCACTGACCAACATATTTCTGCCAGTAAATTTATAAATTCCGAAATATACAGAATAAGGTTCTTGATCCTTATGAAAAGTTGTTCAGGAAGAAAATCAGTAATAATCTCTTCCTAACAGATGATAATGCTTGTCCCATCATGCTGCACTAGTAACCAAGTATTTTGAAGGTGAAGGAATCCTGCATTTGGTGTGCCATACATATTCTCTGGATTAAAATCCAATAAAACACATATGGGATGCATTATAATACTGACTTGCATCACTGCAGCTCCATTTAGCACCACTCTTCAGGAGCTTCAAGGTGCTATTCATCATAATTATAATTTGTTACTGCGGGAACCCCTGGATCATCTAATATTCAACTGTAAACTAAGTGCAAATAAAAATAACTATAAAGTCTGCATTTCAGTTAGGCGTGACCACACACCTTATTATTTTTTTCTATGTATCTCTAAAAAGTTGTAACACTACTTTATATCACATTTCAATGTTATTTTTTTGCAGATATAAACAATTCTGGATTTTAAAAATGTTTCTGTCTGTATTTTTGTATAATATTTTGTGTAACATTTTCTTAGCAGTAAAATCATCCAAGTTACATAAGTTGTTATAGTTGTTCTTTAATTTGTCCTGTCAGTGCATTAACATTAATCATTTACAAAAATATTACAATAGTTATTGCAAATGAAAAGTGTTAAAGTGTTTTATATCAAAGAAAATATGTAGATGCTTTGAAATATAAATTTTGCAAACAGCCTTTAAGCATTATGCATTAATTGGATTGCTGAATGGCAGAATCATAACTATGCAAAAGTAATATAAATATTATGAATTTATTAGCACTATTATAGCAGTAAAATATTATTAATATAGTCAACAAAATATTGTTTAAAAAACTAAGAAAATGTCTCTAGTTAAGGAAAAGTTTTACCCCATATCAGAACGATTTTCATCTACCCAGTCTCTACACTTGCCATATGAATATGATGATGTGTAAGTAGAAAAGAGAAAACAAGTTTTTGACTCCTCACACCAAGCACAAACACCTGGGTCCCCAAGACATGATGCACAATTTATTCGCCTAAAAATAATATCAAAATTACTTTCAAATATAAAAAAGAAGACAGTTTCACTCATGTTTCAGACAGTTTCAGACAGTGCATTTTGGCAATGAATTATAACTTGAAAATTGAAGCAATTTATTAACTTATTATTTGAAGTAAAGTATTTGAATAAGTGTTTTTCACTTTTTGTACACAATCTAATTAATTAAATCTAATTAAATGAAAACTGGATAGTGTAGATAATATTTTCATATGTTTAAGAATGAAATGATCAACAGCTTTCAGAATGATATTGAAATTATACCAATGTTTCCAGAATTTACTTTAATTCTTTCTGTGCAATCTCTGTTATTAAAAAATGATATGAATATGTAAAATATCTATGAATATGTAAGGTTACTGCATAAAGCAGTGATGGACAGATCCAGAACTACATAATTTAGACTATATATGGTCCAAATGATGAAAGTGTGCACTTCAAAATATTTTTTCTACAATCTGATATAGATTTAATTGTTGAAATTATTGTTTGTCAAATTTTCACGCATCTTTAACAACTCAGAAATTTACTATTTGCATCACTGGATTGAGAAGAAAAAAAAACCTTTTAAATGAAAGTTATAGCAAACTTTTCATGTAATTTATTGGTTTTTGGTATTTTCTTCCCAACAATTTCACACAAATTATTTAAAACATTTTACAGGTTATAAAACAAACTCTTCTTCTTCTTCAATTGCACTACAGCCTATCACAGGTCAAGGCCATCTCAATAAGCTTCCTCCAATGGATCCGATTAGTAGTTATGGTCTGCCAACGATTGATTTTTAGTCTTGGGATTAGCCTCCACACAGTCTATCCATCTTGTGCAAGGTATTTTTCTTTTCCTTACTCACCTCTTTAACAAGGTTCAAGTCGTCATGTCTAAAAATACGTCCAAGCCACCCGAAACAATTAAGATTTGATGACTTGGACAATATTAGGTTGTTTGTATCTCTATATCTTTAATGGTTTAAAAAAAAAAATTCTTCACCTATTATTTTCTCTAACTCAGCCATATATTTTCCACAATATTTTTCTTTGTGAGTTTAGAAGTCTTTCTTCATCTGTTTTTATTAATGGCCAGCACTCAGTACCATATAATATGATTATGTATAAGCAGAAAAGAGGATACTTTTTGTCTCCACACACCAAGCACAAACACTTGAGAGGTCTAATAAGAGTTGTATAAAGATTTATTTTTGTCTTGTATTTTAATAATTTAGACATCAGCAAATTTTTTAAACCATGATAACATCTATTAGCTCTAAATAAATTGTCACTTGAGAGTTGAATACTGTTATCATTAGGGATAATAGCACCCAGATATGTAAACTGAGAAAGGCCCTCAAAAGTATAAGTATTTATTTGCAGTGGGAGGGGATTATGTACTCTACTAGTTACTGCTATAAATTTTATTTTACACTCATTAATGGTTAGTTCAATGTTTCTGGCTGCAGATTCTAGAGAAATAAAAGTCTCCACAACTGCCTGTTTACTTATGCCAGTAATGTTGATTTCTGAAATATGGTGCTTCTAGTCATAATTCCGCCATCTCTAATAGACTTTTCAAGGGTGATATATAAAAAACATGCGTGCAAGGGATCACCTTGTCTATACCCTCTTTCAGTGTAGAATGCTCTGATAGACCAGACATGATTTATTTATTTAAATAACTAATTCATCTATAATTTATTCTCTTTAAAGTCATTCTAGATATATCAATCAACTTTCAAGGAAATTCAAATTCCAGCATAGTATCAAACTGCTTTTCATGGTATATGCTATCATAAACAAAATCTGTAAAAAGATGAAGGATATCCATATTATATTCAATTGTTTTCTCCAAAAACTGTCTAACAGAATGAATTTGATGAATAGTAGATTTTCTGCTTGAAATCCACACTGGTAGCTACCAAAAACTGTAGATGCATATGGTAATAACTTATTATACAAAATACAGGGGATGATCTTAAATGAAACAATTAAGAGGTTACATTCCAGTCTGTCTCCTTTTCTAAAAATGGGACATATGGAGCCCTCTTCGCATTCAATGAGCATCTGCTCTATAGTCCAAAGATTAAGTATAACCTTATGAATAGCATCAATCAGTTCAGGTAGGTCAATATCAATAAGTTTTGCCTTAATACCATCTGGTCCTACAGCCCTGTTGTTATTTACTTCCCAATATAAACTCTTTAACACAGAAAGTTTAAAAAAATATTAATTAGGTGATTTTTTTAAAAAATATATATAGCAGTATGACTTTAAGCACATTCTTTCTTGGACATCAAGTGGCAACTACTAACTGTTATACTGAAATGTGCTGTATGAGTACTTTTTGCAAAAAGTTCCAGAACTGTTAAGTGCTTCTTTTGGTAAAATAAATTTTATCAAGCTGTCATCGGTTCTGTGTGCATTCAATCCACTATGAATCTGTATGAACCCAACAATATTACAGTTATTTTAAGGCATTAAAATTCAAACATCAAAAACTGTATCTGTTTTTTAGTTTTGAAATTTTGACAAGTTAATGAAACACCGCTCCATTTAAAAACAAGAATGATATAAAAAGTATTAATCAGGCAATTTTCTTAAATTTTATTTTAAACAAGCTGCTTGCTCAAGTAAGCTTCAGTCTGGCATGTATAAGTCATCAGACCTAGTTACTTATTTAAAAGTTCAAATAATAAATACTGTTGGATTTACCATGTCTTTCCTAAATATAACTTAAAAATCTTAAAGAGATCTGTTACGCTTAATGTTTTTCTGACTACATGGATTTATAATAGTCATCAAACTGAAACTTGCAAACATCTATATTTTTATTATTACAGGAAAGGTTCCCAAAATAATTGTGCAATGGACAAAACATATGTCTTTAAACAAGATTAGCTTAAATAGCTTATGATGTAATACTTATTAGATGTAGAAATTGAAAATGCTATTGCATATACTTTTTTTAAAGACGCACAGAAAGAAAATGGAATGTGAACCACAGTATGCAAGAAGGACCAATACAGTGAAACACTTTTTTGTTCAAAAAATGTGGTCACAATACTCAGTATTATTTAAGTGATATTAGAATGAAGAATACTTAAGAAAGTGAGTACACATAAAATAAGAAAACTTCAACTTACAAATGACAAGGCACAGGACAAAACTGAGAATCACGAATAGCTGCCTTAAAACGACCCCGACGCACACAAATGGCTTCTTCCACTAACCATTCACAAGTCTGAACCTGAAAGATAATATAAAAGAAGATTATTATAATTCTAAAACTGCTTTCAAAGACCTATGCATGTAAAAACAAAACTTAGGGTTAAAAATTTTAATAAACATCCTAAAGAAACAAAACAGAAAAGATAAAGAGCAACAATAACCGTTATACAGTAAAATTCTGATAATCCACCAATGCTTAATTTGCATCTAGTCTTGAATATAATTAAACAAAATTTTGATTTTCAGAAAATTCTATATGACAAATTTAATGGCTATTTCCCTTTATATGTGCATGAAAATAAAAATGCTAATGAATTTACAATGTAATTACAACATATTTTAACTGAAGAAGAAAATTTATGTCATAACTGGAATTACTCAGCATTTTCTGGGTTTACATAAGCAGTTTTTTTTCTAAAAATAATAAAAGAGGATCATGGATCTCAACAAACATTTTGTTTCAGATAAATTCTTATTTTGGGAACACATTCCATTGTCTTTTAATACTAATTCTGAACTTAATGTGATTAATCAATTTTAAAATTATGTGCCATGCCTCATGTAATTTTAACAGTGAAGCAATAAGTTCTCATCCAATAACAGGAAAGTTGTGGACAGGAATTTATCTGCCCACAACTTTTCAGTTGGCACAATCAAACTTAAATGCATTTCAGAACTAGTCTATTTACATTCTGCAATAAAAAGCATGTTTATATTTGCAGGGAACAGGGATAGATTCTTAAAAATATCACTTAGTTTTGCTGGTGTTAAAAATGGGAAATATGATAAAAGAAAGGATGCTGAAGAAAAGAAATATTTCTTCTTTAATAAATTCAAGTAAACAATCCAGACTTAATGTAAAAATTACAAAGGGAAATATGTAAACAAAACACAAAAAGACTTGATCAATAATCTACACACCCCTCAGTCTTGCAGTGTACAGATTATTTGAACTCTACTGCATTTGCGTTAATTTCAATTTTGAAAAGTGAGAGATGCATTTTGAAGGACAGAATAATCCAATTTCAGAAACAAAAAGATACTACTATTAATATGTACATTTAAATTGAACAAAATTTTGGAAGACTCGTGATTAATGTATTTACAAATAAGAAACTTGTAATAAAACATTTATTCCATTTTTAATGCAAATAAATTTCTTCACACACTTGATTAATTATTTTATAACACAATTTAAGACTTTAACTAGAAACCATCTATGAATATTTAAAATACTTAATATTCACTGGTGATACAGATAATCAGTATAAGAAACTTAATATCATATAGTCATGTTCTGAAAAATAAGAGACACCAGAACCAGATTCTGAATATTTTTCTACTTTTCTAATAAACCTTTTATTATTAAATCACCTTTTGATGCAACATTAAGAAAGAAAGGGACTTTCATTTCAGGAAATTTTTGATTAGATTTCAAAAACAAAAGTAAAATAAGGTTAGATTGTAAAAAATAAGTATTAAGATAAAATCTGAAATTGAACCATATTATGCAAAGCGCTAAACTGCGTCTCTCCCTAATCATTAGTTGGACTAATTTGTATTTCATATTTAAATTTATTCAGACTTATTGCAGCCAGTTATACCCCTATCTAATCCTTTTAATTTTAATCTTTTCTTCATCCACCACAGTCTTCTCTATCTTACATCTGAAACAACATTAATTCCAATATGCATCATAAATGAGAAAAAAAATTATAACAACTTCAAACTGGAAATTATTGTCCTTCCGAAAATTTTACCCATCCTAATGGTTAACAGATACATTAGTTCACCTCTTATTTCTTATATTTATTTAAAAAAAATATTACTTCTGCTTCATAGCATGATATAAAGATTATTTAATTGTTTCTCCTGTAGAACACTACCAACATATCAAGTTCATGTATGTAATGTCTCGTCTTCCATGTTCGCTTTTCTTCCCTTCATAGCAGTGAAAATTTCGTTAAAAAGAAATCAATTATATTATATTCAATATAATTTTGATTTCTGTAGAAGAACTAGGTCGATAAAACATTTTTCAGAGTTTCAAGAATACTGCTACAAAAACAACAGGCTCAGAAAAATAGTTTCTTTCTTAAGTCCTTAAATAATTAGATTATATGAACAAGAACATTAGGTTACTTGAATATGGCTCAACATAAGATAGCTATCAGGCTAAAGGGATAGATGGCTTTATGAAGAACTTTTTAAAGCAAACAAGCTCAGATGAACAGGAAGACTTGAAAGTATATTGAAAAGAATAATAGCTCTTATAGAAAAATAAACAGCTATAAATAGCACATAGGTATAAAGAGAGATACAGCAAAATACTCTTTAGTACATGTGAAATTTCACAGATCACCTAAATTGCTCACTCAGCAAAGCAGTAATCATTGAGCGAGAAGGAAAAAATTGCATACAGCTCTGAACTATTCTAGGCTTCAATACAGCTTAATATATGTAACTTTCTTTATTCAAGGGAAAGCAATTCTGGAATGGCCTCCTAGGAATTTAAAAAATGTGTTTTCTGAATGTTGCCAACTGGGTGATAAAAATTATTACAAAGTTATCTCTAGTTTTAATTGAGCTATCCTTAGTGATCAAGTGACTCAAAATTTTAAAGATCTACAATATTATACATGAAATACAAACATACTAAATGGCCACAAATTTAAAATTAGAAGAAAAAAGAATCACAGCAAATAATTCTACAAAGTATGTTAATTAATCACATAAATAAAAATCAATGCAAAAAATATAAAAATATGTAAAAAATAAATTACATTTGCATAACTACAAAAATTTACACAATTTATAATAATGTGGTATGGATTTCGGATTAGTTCCAAAATCCAATTTCAGTGTTTCATTTGATGAAAAGTAAAAGTATTCAAAATGTTACATATCTTACATAAAAAAAGTAGTTAAATATCTATAATAGTTGTCATAAATAACGCTTCAAAGACTTAAACCACTTTTGTTTTCAGTCTTTATGAATATTCAAATTAAATTATGAAATCGAATTTAATTACTTTACCTGAGTACACTGTTCACAATAGATGGAATCTGAACAAACAGTGCAGTTACTTGGATGAGTCACTAAAAAACCAGTTTCTCCATTTCTTTGGCACGAAGTTTTGTCTTCAGATACTTTAGAATAACAAATACCATCATTTTCGCACCATCCACATAAGTTATCAGTCAAACAAGCGAGACAATTATGATGCAAATCACAAGAGCCATTTTTGTATAATTCCAAATGCATATGACCAATAGCCTAAAAATTCCAAAAGAGACCAGTTCTAAAAACAATGATTACTCATAAAATAAAATAAAAAAATTTCAAGAAAGAAAATTAAAAGATGATATAAAATGTTTAATTTTACCTAACACTTATCTTAAAGATGATTTATTAAAAAAATTAATTTTCTTACATACTTAATAAAAATATTGATACATACTAACAGCATTTACATTTTCATAATTGAACAATATTCATAACATAAACTAATATTAAATATTCATTTAATTTTCTTAAACCCCCATCCCATCTAGCGACGTGTGTGGATAGGTGGGACATTTCTCAGAAATGAGATTCTGGTAGCAAACAGGAGGGTTCTGAGAAAAACCAGGACGACTGGAGGCGATGTTCCATCTAGCCAAGGAAACGGCATCCGTTTGCACTGTCCCATGTAGAGATCAACCAATCATGTGAAAATTCTGCTTCTGAAGGATCCCAAGTAATTCCCAATGCGGCGATGGCTGTAGCTTGACATCGTGGATAATAGAAATGAAAGCCGATTTTATTGAAGAAAGAGAAAAAATAACTAGATAAATTAATTAAAAAAAACCTATTTGTATGGCGTGTTTTTAAAATATATCTGTCTATGTTATTTTTAAAATTTTTATATACTGATTAAATTTATAACAATGGAAATTTCAGAGTAGACAGTATTTTAGGGCATTCTTATAGTTTTGATGATTTGTTTACAAATTTTTAGTCACCAAAATTTTGCCAAATTTGTTATATTTCACATTAACCCACAGAATACTGTGTAGAAATATTATCATTGTTATATATTAATAGATACTAAAGATAGTACTAAAGATTAATAGATACTACTTTTTACTAAATTTAAGGTGATTAATTTTTTAAAATTCTGTTCATATAAGTACGACTTTACTTTTTTACCAGTTACTTATCATTTAAATTGTGTATTGCATAATCAGCAATTTACTGTAAACAACAGGCGCGTAAAAAGGAAAGCATAGCTTATGTAATAATGAGAATATTTATTAAATTTGTGTGCTATTATTTTAATGTTATTAATAAAATACGTTTTAGATTATGAATACATTAAAAACTATACGTTTACTGTAAATGCTACATACTGAAACACTCAAAATTTATGGATTTATTATTATGCACAATGAAAAACATTTCTTTTTACATTCATTGATATAAATTTATTACATCAATACTAATAAGCATCCATCAACAACTTCTAAACCATCGCATCTTTCTCTCTACGCATATTTAAATATATGACTTACTAGATGACTATTTATATGCATATATGAATATAAAAATTAATATTGCCAAAAAGTTTATCTGAAGTCATATCTAATTCAAATAATAATCATGTAATTGATAGCAACTGTACTCATGAGTTCTTTGCACATTATACTAGCTATGGAATATACAGTTGAAAAATAATTGCTGAGCATCAGCACGAAAGAGTGTACAAGTTTTGTTTTGGTGATAATATATAATTATATTCTATATATGATTTACATAGTAAAAGGATGGCTTATGAATAACAAGAAATTTAACCGCTATGCATTTATAAAACATTTGATCACTTGAAACATACAGTGCACAACTGATTATCACTTTGATGCATGCTTATGCTCTTCACCATCTTTCTGTTATCTTCCATAAATAACAAACAAGTTTAAAATGAAAATGTGAGTGACACAAGATATAACACGGAATTTGAAAGCAAATGTCTCTTTTGCAAATCTGAGCAATAATTTATTCCTGTTTGGGTTTCAAGTCTGTTTACTGAGAGAAGATGGTAACCCAGCTATGTAGGTTTCATGGAAATGGGAGTACTGAGAAATGTTTCCTTCAACGATGTGTCCCGTCTAGCAATAGAAGAAAGATGAGATAGCGGTTTTAAGTAAAACCAATTTGGGATTTCAAGCAATTAATAGAGATAACTAAGGAAACATAATATACTACTAATCTTTTTCTTTTAAAATTTTCCTCCATTGATATTTTAATTTTATTCAGAATTTAATCAAATGATAACACAAATGATTTAATATATAAATACTGTTATATTAATTATCTATTATTTATCACCAAATTACTTTAATTAAGTTTATTTTTAATGTATATGCTATTCATTATTAATTAATACACGATAAACTACATAGATTATTAAGCTTAGCTTAGTGTAGAATCTTGATCAAGTAAATACAAACTATATGATTAACACCATACATGGCACTTTCATGCTGAGCCTCTCTCATAAAAACTGAAAATAAACATTTAAATCCAAAGAAAGAAACAAGTTTCCTACTGATCATAATTTTATAAAATGTGGCTTTATACTTATAATACATTTAAAATATATGTACAGTCAAAAGTCGTTAATTCGGACAACCATAATCCGGACCTCAAAGCTACAAACTTTCTGCGCATACGTCGCACGTAAGACTTTTACGGCTGCGAATATGGGTGTGCGCATGCGCAAAATACGTTTATGCATGCGCGTTTAATGTATAACGGACGGTATAAGCTAAGCTAAAATGATCTAATTCAGTTAATGTTACAGATTGCGTTGTTCCTTAATCTTCGAATTGGATCCGGCTTATTATTTTTTGCAGACTGTTAGAGCAATTTTATAAAAGTAAGCTTGAACTTTCGATTATGTCAAACAGAATTTCCGATATATATTTACTAATATGTAAAGGATCTACCAAACCAAAAGTATGTTTCGACGTCCATTAAACAAAAGTGGAATTGCTGCAAAAAATGACCTAACCATTCCAAAATCTGTTTATCAATTTCACGCTGCTCTGCGGCGGGGGATGGGGGGGGACGGCGCGCAATGAATTGGAAGTTGATCTGTCAGCACTATCTGTATCTTCAGGGCAGATGTTTTCAATGCGGCAGCGTGCAATAAATTGGAAGTTGATCTGTCAGCACTATCCTTATCTTCAGGGCAGATGTTTTCATTTTATTTGGCTTATAATTCCTTACTAAATGTAGTATTTCATCTCGATGTATTCCGTCTTCGATATGATTTAAATCAAATTCCTCGTCATTGTAATTTGCTTCCGATAGTGAAGAAAGTGACACAGAAGTTATTGAAAACGAAAAAATTTCAATCGACAAATTAGTCGGTATTCTCGACACAGCAATTATAGGACTTGAGCAGCGAAACTCTGTAACTGAGCAAGAAATTATGTCTGTTTATAGAATTAAAGAGAAAGTATTATCACAGAAAATGAAGCAAACAACTTACATTGAAAGAAATGTTTAATAAAGTAAATAAATAAATATTAAGCTTTTTTTTTTTTTTTTTTGTAAATTTTGATACCCTTTAGATCATAATATTTCTTCATTTCATAAATTATGGTTTCATATTTTTAATTTTATAATTTCTGCATGCCATCTTACCAGATTTAAACTGATTATCTACAATCCGGAAAAATCGATAATCTAGAATCGCCGAAGTCCCGACGAGTCCGGATTAACGACTTTTGACTGTATATATATAAATTTTAAGATTTTGATTTATGCTGGATCAATTATTGAATACTACAGAATTTTAAAATATTTAGTTTCACTAAAATACTCAATAATAAGCAACTAACTAATTTCATATTTAGCTTTAATGAAGTTCTAATGATAGTCATCAAATGAAAATCTACAAAATATGCCCCAAGAAGAATATTATCTAAAATCTTATTATTATTTAAAAAAGATATATCAGAAAACATTTTTAAAACTACATATTATGACAACATGAAATGCATACCACTGGAGCTACAGAAAAAGCTGTCCACTTCAACTGAATGCTAGAAGTCTCGTTCAGAGTTGATGGCAATCTTACAGTGAAATTGAACATATATTTATGGCCACTAGAATCAGCTGGGAAAAGTGCAGCTCCTCTGGCTCGATGAGCTTCTGAACAGTAGAAAGAAGGCTTCGCATTATGGGTGGAAACTATTTCCTGAAACATTAAATCGTAGAATTTAAAATACAAATAAAGCAGTCATCATACTTAAAAAAAAATTATATTCATTTTTTTAAAATTCAATATATTTTGGGAAGGAACTGTTTTTTCACTTTGTAAAAAAAAAAAAAAAAAAAAAAAAAGTCAATATAAAACTGATTTTACGTTTATTCAAATAACATATTGCATCTGTTACATAGAGATACAAATGAGAAGCTTTGAAATGTTGCAAAAATGGAACATTAGCACAATTTTCTGAAAAGCACAGCTTTCTTTGTTTGTGGAAGATTAGAGAAATATTTTGTAATGAAACTTTATACTTGTAATAACATAATGTTCAATTAATATAAATAATAATGTTCAATTGCTGCAATGTATATAATTCTTTTTATTTTCCAGATTCTTCTCAATAATATGGCCTAACTGGTTAGTTCAGATTTGCTTTGCAAGATAGGAAAACGTCCTTGTTTGCAATCTACAATGGGAAATTACCTTTCTGGAAATTATAATATCCTTTTTCTAAAGGATATTATAATTTCAAAAGCCATACAACATCAAAAATTCTTGATAAATTTCATTTTGAGGCAAATCCAGTTCTATAAGAGATTTGCTACATTTATCTTTCCCACATGAATAAAATGAACAAATAAGAGTCATTTTCTTTTGACTACAATTCCATAAGAAACAATGCAATTATCTAGGAAATCAGCACTGCTTAGGTTTTTATCATAATCTTGCTTGAGGCTGCAGAATTTCATGGATTAGAATTCCATTAGTCTCACATAGAGGTACAGAAATAGAAAACTGAAATTATTTTAATAAGTATTTCATAGTATAGTTACAGACGGTACTGCTTAATGTTAACGGATTGTCCAAGTCTCACTCATTTGTATACGAAAGCGTATAAAATACATTGCGATTAATTAATCAGTTAATGTTAAGAAAATATTATAGAATTAATTTTTTAAACTGAATTAATGTCATCAAATAAACATAAAATCAAATAACAGGGTCAAAATAAAGTATAGAAATTGCCAAATGACAGAGATACATCAGCAACTATTTTAATCTTGATAGTTTTAGAAGCAGTTCTCAGAAAAGGCAATAAAGAACTATTTTAAGCATGCCAGCCTTTTAACAAACAACAAATTTAAGGAAGCTGAGGAACTAGACATGTCTCCAACTAACATGAATTGTGAAGAATTTTAATACTTCGGTTAATATTAGTGTAAAAATTCAAGTTGCAGCATCAGTGACAGAAGAAAGCCTTCTGAAACAAATCCAAACTAGACAGATACAATTCCAGGTACAAAAATTCTGCTTTCTGATACAAAGCCCAGCACATTATGTGATAAATTGAAGATGATGATGAGAAATGAATTTTGAGTGAAGAATCTGAAGATGAGAAGTACATTTCCTATAAATGCTGATATGATGAATGCTACGTAAGGCATCAGAGGTACAGCACCTGTCAAATAATTTCCAGAAACATGATGAACATGAAAAATTCATATATGAACTTTCTTATAACAATTCCACATAATCAAATATTAATGACCCTTTTTTATTTGTATTAAATTAGTTAAATTCCATTGATATTTTGAAGAGAATTTTTTTAATTGCTTAATATTATTAAAATAGTCATGGACAAACATGGTCACATTAAGGGGCACTCACTGTGTTTTGATAACTATGCTTTTTAGACCCTTGAAACACAGCAAAAACCTGACTATCTGGCATTCAACTAGTGGGAAATCTCAAGTAATTTCTAATATTTCAAAATTTTAAAAGCTTAGGTAAATGAGAGACTTGTAAAGTAAATCATATTGCATGTACAGGAGTATGACTCAGAACAAAAACTATTGTTAAACAGTGTGATATAGCACCAATTATGGATAACATCATACAAGATATCATAACACAATCATAAGATTTAATATTATCCAAAAGAGTAACCTTAATTTTGAAGAGATTTGAATAAACTTTATTGATATTGAAGACAATTAGATGTAGATGTCTTTTCAGGAGACAAAAAAATTTGCAAAATGGGAAGAGCGATAACCATATTTAGGCAAAATGTATTTTAAAAAATGGGAGGCATTGCAAAAAAAAAAAAAAAAAAAATATTTTCAGCTATATTCTGGCATACTTCTCTTCCAATTTGAAAAATATAAGATCTTTGTCTTTTATGTAACTTAATTGTTTTCAATAAGGTAATTTACTTTTTTTTTGAAAGAGAATATCTGCTAGTCAACTGCTACACCTCACATTCTGAAAAAATATTAAACTTTTGGACCTTTCCTACATGGAAGAACATGTAGTGGAATATTTACAAAATTACGGGATCCTGGCATCAAGAAAAATTTGCATTAATGGGCCTGTTATGTAATTTATTTGAAAATGGATAAACAATGGCAATGCAATGTGAAAAATTATGACAAATTATTTTTATACATTATATCCATAAGGGAAAGCATTAGAGGCAGGCAGAAGTTATCAGAAGGCAGAAGTTTTTTATACATTTCATCCATAACTTCTGATTATCAACTTAAATAAAGAACAATTACTTCTTTCAAACTTCTGCTGCTAATTGGTGCTGTTTGGCATGATATTCATCAATTTTCATGATTAATAGGATTTCATAATCAAGTAAAGATTTGAGTTAAAAAACACAGGAAAAAAGACATGTGGCTTTCCCCGACGCACTCACCATTTTGTGCTAGCATTTTCTCTTTCCCTGTGTCTACACTCTTGGATTAAGACTTTACGATATGAGTTTCAATAATTTTTTTTTAATATATATTCTTTTAAATTTGATTTATAGTTTATCCCGAGCATTAAATTTTTTTTTTCATTTTTATTTACTTTTAGTGTCATTTTTTTAAATGTTTTAGGCTTTACTATTGGTTAGTTAAATTAATTCTGATTTTAATCTTCATTTTTTACCTAGCCTTTGACCATTAACTGTTTCACAAAACTGTGACTGAATTGAGAGAAATTTTTAAACCACCTTAACTTTTTACTTAAGTGCAGTCATAAAGAATTGATCCATAGTTTCATTCAGATGAAATGTAATCAAAACCCTTCAAGTCACATCTAAAAAATTTCTCCTTAATTTCAAATTAGCTTTGGTTTGGTCCATCATAAGGGACACGCACAGTTATCCAAAATTGAATTTGAGCTATGGAAGCTTTATATGAAACTTGCTAATTTGGTAAATCACTGGTATTGAACCGAAATCCTGATCTAGAACCGAGGATGAAATTAAAAATCATAAAAAGAACCTTGAATTTAAATTCCAAAACCTTTCACAGTCTTCCAATTTAAATATTTCAAAAAATCTTCTCACTATTAACACCAAGCCAATAGTTAATACAATGCTGGCCATTAAAATTGCAACACCTGGAAGGAATGATATGACGAATGTCAAAATCATATGAAAGAAAGAAAAGGCTGGGATATGAAAATAATTAGAATTTCAGCGGATTTAGATGCTGAAAATAGGAAGGAGAAATGACATTTGAAGCACAGCATAAAAGAAAAATTCTCTAGTGGATTTCTCATTCGGAAAGCACTTTGTAAGGTCAGAGTTTGCTCAGAATAACATTTGAAGCACAGCATAAAAGAAAAGTTCTCTAGTGGATTTCTCATTCGGAAAGCACTTTGTAAGGTCAGAGTTTGCTCAGAATATCGTGTTATGCATCGAATAATAATAATAAATGCTTACCAGCCAAGTTTCGGAATTTGATAAAGGCAGGATCATTGCCTATCAAGAGTATGGATTATCATTCCGTGATATGATCCGTCGCCCTGGTCGATATCCAAAAACTGTCATACGAATATGAAATCAATGTATTGCTGAGAGTAATACTGAACGGCATACAGGGTCGCAATGCCCTCCCATGACTAATGCCCGAGAGGACAGCCCTACAAAACCATACAACCATATCACAGACCATTAGTCAGGAAATGGGCATGTTTGCAGTAAGCCCAGTATCAGCTCGTACGATGCGTTGACGTCTGTAGCAACGTGGACTATCAGCATGGCAGCCATTACTTCGGCTTCCCTTGACAATGCAGCATACAGACAGACGGCGACTCTAGTGCGCCAAACGATAAAGCTGGATACAGGAGTGGCACAATGTTGTCTTTTTAGACAAGTCCTGGTTCTGTGTGCAATATCCTGATGGCCATATTAGTGTCTGGAGGCTCCGAGGAGACCATACGTCGCCTCCTAGTATTCAATATCGGCCTAGGGACCCTGCATCTGGTGTGATGATTTGGACAGCCATTGGGTACACGACATGCACAGCTCTGGTTTGCATCGACCGTAATTTGAACAAAGATTGGTACATTTCTGACATCTTACGTCCAGTGGTTGTGCTCTATATTCGAGGCCTGCCAAATGCCATCTTCCAACAAGATAATGCAAGACCACATGTTGCACGTAGTGTTCTGACCTTCCTTGATATAAAGGGTATTCGACTGCTGCCTTGGCCTCTATGGTCTCCAGATCTGTCCCCCAATGAAAACATTTGGTCATGGATTGTTGAAAGACTGCCCTTCTTCAGATAATACAGTTAGTGAGGTATGGCATATATTTGAAGCAGCATAGAATGACTTGCCTGTTTCTGTCATCCAAGTCCAGTTCGCCTCCATGCCTAACTGGGTAAGAGCCGTTTTAGCTGCCAAAGTTGGCAGCTGTTTCTACTAATTTCGCAGCCCTGTAAACCCCTAAACTGCTAATAAATTTCATCATTTTGTCTTCATGCCATACTGTTTACTTACAATAAATATCTTTTTTGTATTTGCTTTCCTTCGTGGTTTTGCAATTTTAATGGTCAGCAGTGTATTTCTAATGTTGAACAAAAGAGAATTCTGAAATATAATTTTAACTTCTCACAACCTCAAAACCTTCCATTCCAAAGATTTTAGCTCTTATCCAAATAACTTTAAAAATTCAGTAAAGTTTCAGATACACAGAGAAATAAGCAGGC